TTGAATTTCCGCAAAAGCACTGACGATCTCATGTAAGATTGTCAGTGTTCTTACGGAAATACTATGCTGCTCCCATTCGGGCAAAAGTCCAGTGTAGACAGCCCAGATTTGTTTTCCGCAAAAAAGCCCCGATTGCGAAAATGGCGACCGGGGCTTTTTGCGGAAAAGCGCGTCTAGATTGGCACAGCTGCTTTTCCACAAAAAGTGCTTTTGCCGAAAAGCGTCCATGCCAATCTAGATGCTCTGTTCAAATCACGCCAGTCTAGACGTAGCCCAGATGTTACTCTGCCCGTCGAGACAAAACAGCAAACTTTGGGGAGTTTGTCAGGGTGGTTTGCTGCGGACACTCTGTTTCGCTTGAGAAGTATTTCACTGACTCTAGTGACTTGCAAGTGACATGAGTATCCATGGCCGTCTTGTGACACTTCCCATAGTGCTACATTGTATCCCTGCAGTTCCTGACAGTGCTTGGTAAGGGGCTTTTGTAATGCACGACAAGCTTGTACAGTGTCAGGATTGAAGACCAACTGCACCTGTCTGACCTGTGTCGGCCAAGTTCCGAGTGAAGCGGTCTGGCTCTTGCAGTGGTGGAAAGGCGAATGCAGCGCCTCCAGCGGTTCCCTCCCTAGCCCAGCCTCCCATCTTGCTACAAGAAAGCCCCCGCCCCAGTGCAGTGCTGTATGGGAAGGTGCTGGCCCTGTGTCTGGGGGCTGCCTGGCCAGTCTGCTGACTTGTATTCCAGTCCCTGCAGGCTTCTCCGGCTGGGTAGGGGGCTTCTGCCTGCCCTGCTCTGGAAATACAGCGATTGGGGGTACAGGGGTAGAAATGGGGGTCCGCAATTCCACAGTCTTTCTTGGGTGTGGACCGGTCTGTGCGGCCCATGAAGCCTGGTAAGGCTGCTGCCTCTCCAAGCAGCACAGGGGTGGCAGTGCAGCTCCCACTGGGCTCAGTGCAGCTAACCCCTCCGCCCTGCCGGCAGACTGGGCTGCCCTCGGGTGGGCGTGACCTCTGCGTTGTGAGGGCTGGAATCCTTTCAGTTCCTATTGCAGCTGCGAACATAACTACTGAGTCATCACTCCCGGGACGAGGCTTGTGCCTCTCCGACATATCAAAGAGTGTCACATGACCGACCCGCGCTCGCTGAAGAAGCATGGAAAGGATTCCTTCTGTCTGTCGGGGACCAAGGAGCCCCTCCTCCAGGAAAGAAGCGTTCTTTTTAAAGCACCCTGGTCTTGCTCTGCTTCGGTTCAGAGCTTCTTCTGGCAATCCTGCCAGCTACCTCACCTCACCCCACCTGACCTGACCTTGCATAACTTCTTGCTGCAGTGTTAAAGTTAAGACTCTTTACTGTCCCTCTGAAAAGCACAGATCGGTCACACTTGTTCTAGCACTTGGATTCTGTCCTACCTCTACGGGACATAGTTGCATGATGTGTTAATGGCTCAGTGCATAGGTAGAAGCTAGAGAGTTTTCACCTTTGCCTCACCCTCGCAAACATCTGGTCGTACGGTGGTGGGCTGGTTGTCTGTGCATGATGAGTTGGTTGAACCCCTCTGGCACTGGGACCCGATACTGAATACTGTAGCTGGTCGCCTGGGTGACATCTTTTGGCAAATAGTGAATTAGCTGAAAAAAGCACTTTTGAGGGCACCACAACTATTTGCTGATTTAACCCCCCCCCCCCCCCCCCACAAAACATACAGTGGTTATTTCAATTGGGTTTACAACACATACTGTCAAGTGACTAAAATTAGTTTAAAAGCATATGAAAATAAAATATCTTTTATGGGATAAATAGGTTAACTTAGATACTACACGTAGTGAAGCTGAAAATGTGATAATTGCTAGGTTTATTTTTTGTATTTGTTTAAAGTTTTACATACTAACTTCCATTTTCTTTCAAATATTCTTTAGTGACCTGTTCCAAAACTTATTGTCTGACAGACTCCCATGAACTTTTAATGAGTATTGAATCAGGCCCTAAAATATTGACATAGTTTCAACATCTTTTCAAACTGTTATAAATTTATTAAATCTGGTTTACATTTTTGAATACTTTGTGTAGCTGGATAGCTGTCCTTATTTTTAGATACATGCTAATGATGTGCAATGGTAATAGTGTGCCGTGACTTATTTTGATTCCTTTACCTTCAGTAATGGGTTTTTGTCTACATATTTTCTATTTGTATAATTCCATATCACATTTCTGTGACCAGAAAACAACTCTTCATCACAGTCGTTTTTTTACTCCTGGGTTTTTTTTGGTACTGTGCATTTAACTATTAATGTTAATTAAGTGTGCAGTCATAAATAAAGGACTAGTCACTTAGGACTGGGTTCGTCCACCTTGTATCTGTGCTATGAAAAATATCCATCTGGCATCTGCATTGCGAAAAGCTGTGTGAACTTAGAGAGTTTGATTTTTGTTTTTCAGGGTTATGTGGAAATTGAACAATTTTTTTTATTTAATTGAATCATCTCTTATTAGGCATAACCATGCAAATTTCAATTTAATTTGATCAGTTATATTTCATTAACATTTGGTAAGCCCTGGAAGAGACTATTTCTGTATTGCTAATGATTTTCAGCAGCATATCGACACTCATGTCTGCCTGACTTTGGAGACATTACTCTTTTATAATGTTCTAATTCATTAGGATTTCTTGCAACTACCTGCATCTTTTGTTTTCTGCCCATATGTTACTGAAATCATCACAGCTAGCCATTTAAATTAACTGGAAAATAATACATTTTATAAATTTGTCTTCCATTTTTGTTTCATTTATTGAAGTTATTTGGTTCATCCTTATTCTTAGTCTTTTATCAGGAGAAACTTTGAGTATATATTACTTGTTTAGCTGAACTCTTTCAGGAGTAACAATTTATGGCTTGATTTACTTTCAACTTACTTTGCGTGTTTCAGAAGAAACAAGACATTTTTAGCTAAAATGTGTATCAAAATGTCACATATCATGGCCACAACTCAAAAATGCTGATCAGTTTTGAAAATCTAAATCAACACCTTCCATGAAACCTAGGAAAGGACCTTTGTGGTGACAGAAAGACTTCCAGAAATTCACCACAGTCCTGTTCTAAATTGGAGTTTGTGCTATTGCTGCCAGACAGCTAAGAGATGTGAAAAGCAGAAAATATTATTGAATTGAGCCACAGTGCCAATTTAGAAAAAGAACTTTAAAATGTAAAAGTATTTTTCCATTCGTGGCAGATGAATATAACTTCAGAATACATGGTAAATGAAGAAATACAGAAATGTTTAATTCTGCTAGAAAGTTCTGCTGGAAAGTAAAACAAACAAAACCCCAGCTTTAAAAAAATCTAATAGTTGAACAGATCCCAGTTTTAGTAACGAAAAAAACATTTTACTTTAGATTAGAAATAATACAGTGGTATGTCATAAATCTAGCCACTCAGATGTCATTGAAGACATGGTTACCATAGGTGATCTCAAGTCATTTAATGGTGATGTGATATCCAAGAGACTAAGTAAGCTAGCAGCTTTTAATGCTACTGATTATAGGGTACACTGGACATGGCTGCTTTATCTGGTGGTAGACAGGCAGACTCACATTTAAAATCGCTACTTTCATTAATGAAATCTTGAACAATATTTTTTTTCCTTACTAGGGGAATTCCACTGTTGAGTCCCACATGATTTCTGTTTTCTGGCCTTCTCAAATATTTTGTGGTGATAAGGACAATAATGAAATTTCAGTAGGCTTATTATTAGGGATGTCAACATGTAGACAACTACACAATTAACTGATAAACCTAGGCAAATCCTAGGCTTAACCGAATCGGTTAATCCTGTCAGTTATACACATTTCTCCCTCCCCTCCCCTCCCCTTCCCCGCTCCCACTGCCTCTCTATCTGATAGAGAGACAGTAACACAGAGGTGTGAGGGGGCAGGTAGGAGTGATACACTTGAGAAACTGGAATTTAAGCTGGCTGTGCAGAGCCATCTGCCCCTCCATGCTGTTTCCTCTCTCTTTTGCTGTGGACAGAAGCTGCTCTGTGGGATGTCCACGGGGAGCTCAGACCCCTTGTGGACAGGGGTTGTGGAGCTGAGGTGCCCTGCAGATAGGAATGGCAGTTAGGAGCTGGTCTGCATGGAAAGCTGATTTTTTAACCGGCTCCCCTTGTGAACCAGCTCCCGCCTACCACCTAATGCTGTTGTCTCTGATAGAGAGGCAGCAGCACTGGGTAGCAGTGGGATTCTCGGAAATGGGGTCGGTAGTGCACTGACTATCGGCCCCATCCCCAGGGATTATCGAATAGTTGTGTAACTGCTAACATTTGATGCAGTTACATGACTACTCAGTTACACATTACCCAGCATCCCTACCTATGATCAAGTCTGGATGAGAAGTCAGTGATAATAGCTGGGATTAAGAAAATAATTTAGTTGAACTAGCAAAGGTTTCTCTTGATAGAGGTTACTTGTCTTGGTATCACTTACTTCTTTCAGATGCAGCATTGTCTGTGGTTATCTATGTTTGTCTCCTTGAGACTTGCCGGTTGTAATGTGTTATTCTTTAGGATATCTTTGAAGCCTGCCTGAAAGCTTTTGCTATGCAGAACACATCTGCCCACTCTATGGCAGACTGCCAAGAACTTAGATTCTTTGATCAAATTTATTTTATATCTTCTAGGTGCCAACTGGAAAATGGATGATGATGATTTTGGAGGCTTTGAGGTATGTCATATTGCTGACCTTGAAAAATTGCTCACTTTACAAACTTTTGAAATTGCATCATTTGGAGGAGCATGCGGTATATTATGATTAGTAATAGTTCTGATGTTAACATGAAAATTGTGCATACGGGAAAACTCCAGTAGTCCGGCATCCAATTGTACGACACTCCCAGTAGTCTGGCATCAAAATGGCAAGAGCCTATTGAGAGAGCTTAGGCAAAAAACGAGTCACAAGGCAGCAACGGCAGTAGCTGAAACTAGTGAAACCAGATGGGACTGAATCAGTCTGCCACTGGCATTGTGTGATGCTGGACAGTGCTTCTGCTACAATAAAAAGGGTTAAAAACACTTTATATACAGTGTATAGTGTGTGTGTATGTGTATGTATATGTGTATATATAAAAACCAGTTTATAGTACCTCCTGATAGTCCATCATATCCGATAATCCGGCACCACTTAGGTCCCAAAGGTTCCGGATTATTGGAAATCTACTGGTAAAAGTTAAAGCAAAATTTACCAACCAACACTAATAAGCAGTATAATTTATTTTTTCTTTAGGCAGAACGTAAATTAGAGATGCTCAGCATCTTTGAAAATCAGGCCTCCTAACTAAATGTCTATGTATTTAAATACCTAACATTAGGCATTACAATTTTAAAACTTTGGCCTAGCTTTTAATATATCTGGGCAGTTGAATTTTTGTTCAGTTACATAATACCAGTTTATGTGATGTGAACTTACCTCTGCACATCACATAAAAGATATTTTGTTTAAGGTGCAACATTTGTAAATTTAAATAAAAGATTTTAGTGTGCTTGCTTAGTTGTCTGTGATTATATCTGTATTTCATATCCAGTTTATTCATAGCTTTTTCTTAAGTTTACCTGTGCTTTTAAGCCCGATGAAGCAGCCAATCCCAATCAAGTGTTTTTCTGACTAATGATGTACGTCAGTGATTTCTGTAGTTTTTTTTAGTGCATGCTTATTAAAGTTGAACAAATACAGTAAAAATATGTTCTTTCACATGCACTAATTCAGTGTAGTAGAGGTCATTGTTAAAGGAGTATATTTGAAATGTTTGATAAGCTGTAATAAAAGTGATCATTAGAACATGCCTCCTGGAAAATCTCTACATAAGTTTAGAAGACTAACATAACAGTATTTCCCATATCTGTAGGCAGCAGAGACATTTGAAGGTGGAGATGGTGAAACACAAACTACTTTTCCTGCTATTCCTTGGGCAGCATTTCCTGCAGGTACTGGTAATCAATCTCAGCTCTTCTCTTTCATGTTCTCTTCCCTCTCTAGGCAACAGCTCTCTGCCAGCTCTCAGATATTCTTAGTAAAGCAGTGGTTGCTTTCTTGGCAGTAGCATGGGCCTGGCTTCAGAATGTTCTTGTGTCGAGAATCTATTTTGGGATGCTCTAAAATTTTCTTGAAAAATGCCAGTGAGAAGGGAGAAGGATGATTTTTAACCATTCAAAAGCTGAATAGAATTTCATGGGACAAAGAGAAGGCTCTTCCCTAGCCTGTGCGTACTTCCTACTAAATATCAAACAGCTGTTTCAGGTAATAGAGAGGTGCTGAGAACTCCTAAAAGAGAAGATGAAGAATCTTTGCACTATGTATGTAGCAGTAAGTTATTACAGGACATTCCAGAAGCTCTGAGATCTGAGTGTCAGCAGTCTAAGTTCTCCACATACCACAATTCTAAGGAAAGGGAGAACAGGAAAATAGAGACAATGGATTTTAGGAAGGTGGATTTTGGTAAGATCAGTGAGCTGATAGGTAAGGTCCCATGGGAATCAAGACTGAGGGGAAAAACAACTGAGGAGAATTGGCAGTTTTTCAAAGGGACATTGTTCAGGGCCCGAAAGGAAGCTATTCCGTTGCATAGGAAAGATAGAAAATATGGCAAAAGACTGCCTTGGTTTAACCAGGAGATCTTGCATGGTCTAAAAATAAAAAAGGAGTCCTATAAAAAATAGAAACTAGGACAAATTACAAAGGATGAATATAGGCCAACAACACAGGAATGCAGGGGCAAGATTAGAAAGGCAAAGGCACAAAATGAGCTCAAACTAGCTATGGGAATAAAGGGAAACAAGAAGACTTTTTATAAATACGTTAGAAGCAAGAGGAAGACCAAGGAGAGGGAACAGGAAACTTGGAAATGGCAGAGATGCACAATGACTTCTTTGTTTCGGTCTTCACCGAGAAGTCTGTAGGAATGCCTAACATAGAGAGTGCTAGTGGGAAGGGGGTAGTTTTAGAAGGTAAAATAAAAAAAGAACAGGTTAAAAATCACCTAGAAAAGATAGATGCCTGCAAGGCACCAGGGCCTGATGAAATGCATCCTAGAATACCCAAGGAGCTGATAGAGGAGGTATCTGAGCCTCTAGCTATCATATTTGGAAAATCATGGGAGACAGGAGAGATTCCAGAAGACTGGAAAAGGGCAAATATAGTGCCCATT